GATTATTCATAAGATCCTGAAGCTTTACTCTTAGGTTAGCTTGTGTTCAAAAATGTGTTTTAACTTTAGCCTCAAAATGGCTTTTTCAACGCCCTTAAAAACAAGAGGCAGAATTAACAGTTGCATTCCACTTTTCTTCCCAATCCAATTTACCTTTTATGGAACAATTTTCTATTCTGAGCTGTTAAAAAATGGCAGAATGGATTTATTGTGAACATACTGTATATATAGTTAAAAGGCTAAATAGTGTCCAAGGGTTGTTTAAGTATAGTTCAAACAATTTTAAACTTAATGTTTAGTAAATAAAATACATATGCCTGTAAAATTAGGCCACACGTCATGGTAAAGTAAAATAATTTCACAAGTACTATAAAATGCCTTCCAGGTGTGGGGAGGGATTCAAAAACTGCAAGTGAATGTTCAAGGCATAAGTGCCTCAACACACCCAAGGTGTGGACATTACAGGTCTTGATTACCTCATACCCTGTGCTGCATTATTTGCATGTGAGTCAGGCAGAATCCAGCCCTCAGTAAGGAACTACTGCAAAAGAAAACCTATAAAAACAAATCTCTAACCTGCAGTTTCACAGCTACAGTACATATATATTCATCTATTTGGGAAAGGATATGAGCATAAATTCTCTCTTGTTCTATAATGTGGTATTCTAACTCCCTCCCCCCCCAAGGTAAAAGTTCAGAAACAAACAAACCACTCAGTTTGGAACATTTAATGTAGTGCAAATGCTAACTTATTATTATTGCTTTCCACAGCTAAATAGTCCAATCATAGTACTGATAAGTTCAAAAACTATCACTCTTCTTCCTATTGTGTCCTCCCCTAGTAAAGAAAATCTTCCAGAAGGGCATTTTATTTATATACAGAAACACTAACTCAGCCCAATTTTTTCTGATTTTAAAAATCTGACTGTACAAATATTTTGAAGTATTTCAAACTGAAAAGCTATTTCACACTTCAAAGGGTGTTCTGGAAATCTTGCACTGCTACTGCTTATTCTGTACCTGTTCTGTGGTTGGAGGACTGTGGGCTCCAAAGCTCCTGTCAGCATCTTTCACTAATATTTGTTAAAAAAAAATAATTAATGTTAGTATCCGAGTTTCGTCGTTCTTCCTCTTTTTGAAATAGCTTCAAAGAGTCTTGAAAATAAAAGTTGCTTCCTCTATTCATCTTTCTTACTTGGCAACTGATTTTTCCTCCCTGCATTTACATAGAACAAATCCACTGCCAGCACTGATGAATTGTTAACAAAAGCTTTGGCTAGCTATCTAAGGGCTCCTTCTACTGGCAGTGCTGCAATAAGGCCCAGCCAATCCATCCATAGGTCCTTCATAAAAAGGATTTTTTAAAAATCTTAGTGATAAAACAGTAGATTAAAGAGAATTTAGAGTTGCTTATAATCCAGAAGACATTCTTCAAAATTATGACAATTTTATACCTAAACTATTTAAGTAGTTTTAGCCACAGAAGGCAGGACAAGAGGCAATGGGTTCAAAACTACAGCATAGCAGATTTAGATTAAATCTAAAGAAAAACTTCCTAACTGTAAGAACAGTAGGACAATGGAACAGACTGCCTCGGGAGATTGTGGAAGCTTCTTCACTGGAAGTTTTCAAAAGGAGCCTGGATAGCCATCCGGTTTGGATGGTTTAGACCAGGGGCGGGCAAACTTTTTGGCCCGAGGGCTGCATCGGCTTTTGTAAATTGTATGGAGGGCCGGTTAGGGGAGGGGGTGGAGGGCCGGCCCCCACCTCCTATCTGCCCCCTGGGACTCCTGCCCCATCCAACCCACCCTGTTCCCTGATGGTCCCTCTGGGACCCCTGCCCCATCCATACACCGCCCCCTTGCTCCCTGTCCCCTGACCTCCACCGCCCCATCCAACCCCTCCTCTCATTCCTAACGGTCCTAACGGTCCCCCCGGGACCCCTGCCCCATCCAACCACCTCTTCTCCCTGTTCCCTGACAGCATCCCCTGATGGTCCCCCCATAATCCCCTGCTGCCCCATCCAACCCCCCCTGCTGCCCCATCCAACCCCCCCTCCTTCCTTCCTGACTGCTCCCCTGGCACCTCTGCCCCCATTCGACACCCTGTTCCTCCCCCAACCCCTATCCACACCCCTGCCCCCTACCCTGAACTCCCCTGCCCTCTATCCAACCCCCCCTGCTTCCTGAAGCACCGGTGGCTGGCTGCACTACAGCTGCGCCGCCCGGCTGGAGCCGGGCCATGCCACCACCACCACCACGCAGCTCAGAGCACCGGGTCAGGCCGGGCTCTGCAGCTGCACTGTCCCAGGAGCTCACAGCCCCGCCGCCCAGAGCATTGTGCCGGCGGCGGCGGCGTGAGCGAGCTGAGGCTGCAGGGGAGGGGCCGGGGGCTAGCCTCCCAGCCAGGAGCTCAGGGGCCAGACAGGATGGTCCCACGGGCCAGATGTGGCCTGTGGGCCGTAGTTTGCCCTCCTCTGGTTTAGATGCAACAAACCCTGTATCTTGGCAGGGGGTTAGACTAGATGACCCTTGCAGTCCCTTCTAACCCTATGATTTTAAGTAATTACTTAAACAACTAAAATGTATTTTATGGCAAAGCACAAGTTCAGAGGTTTTCTAAACTACATTAATTCTCATATTTCAACTAATTTTTTTAAGTATTAGTAACAATTTACATACCTGACAAATTAAATCAGACAACACCCAAACAAGCTAAGTTTTCATGTAGCTGTAGTAACAAGTTTCTTACTGGAGCTTTGATGCTTGAGAATCAACCATTTTTGAAAATATTTATATGAAAACTCATTTATTAAACCTCTGTACACAAGAATGAACAGGTATGTACAGCAAGTTTACATAAAGAATGATGTTACAAAAGGTAGAAGTGGTGCTTAAAAATTGACCCACAATTAATTTATAAAAAATATCCGAAATGTTGAGGATAATGCTGGTCATCCCTGATTATTCCCATCTGATTGCCAGGACTTTTCATGTGGAACATTTTAAAATATTGGAATTTTTAAAAACTGTAATATATTAAACTTATCTACAAGATAATTAGCAAAATGTAGAAAGAGCAGACTAATGTATAAAGGACAGATAAAAACCAACATTCCACCTGAAACTCACCATTAACGATAATATAAATCTTAACCAAAATATTAAACAGCAACCGATGCCTCACTGTTTTAAGAGTTTCATGTATCAGAGTGTAAAATATGCTAAACAAATAAATCAATAGTCCTTACACCCCTTAGTGGAAGGTTTTGATTTAGTCAAGTTCTGATGTATTGAACGGTTAACATTGGTCCTGGTCAAATGGAAGCCCTGCATGAACTTAAAAAAATAATAATAAAAAACAACCTCTAGGGAAGAACACAGAAGAATTATATTAGTCCACTCTTAACTACTAAAAAGTTTTTCACAAAAGGACACATGAGATTATCCAATTTGGTGGATACTTTAAGTTTGTTTTATGGTGCCCCCATAAAACCTTAAAGGAAGACAAGTTAATCTGAAGCCTTTTTGTTTTTTTGCTGGTTTCTTGGGGAATTCTTTAATACACTTCGTATTCGAAGATAAACACCAGTTGATTCTGCCATATTTTCAAACTCAAATGGTGTTATTCCTGCCGCAAACTTGCTCATGTCAGGAACAGGATTTGAATTTTTTGTAGATGATTCAGCACTGGTGACCACATGAGTAATACCTTCATTTCCTCCATTGTTAACCTCACATTTTGAGCCTGTAGTGCTGTTCTCCAGCATGCCTTCTGAATCCACATGATCAGTGTCACCTTCCTTTAGGTCAAGCAATCTATCCCCTGAATTAGGGTCACTTTTAGAATGTTCGGTTCCGGATATCTGCATACTAGTGTCTGAAATCCCTATTTCCATTGCAACCAGCTTCTCAGAGGTTCTTCCTTCTGGAATAATGTCCAGTTCATTCCTAGATGGTGATGATGTAACAGAGTTTCCAGTTAAAGGTGTATCAGCAGGTATATCAGAGTCACTGTTTGTACTGTCTGCCTGCTCAAGTGCAGCCCAAATCAATCGCTGCTGCTCCTCAAGCTCTTCTAGGGTCAAAGTATCTTCATCCATGGCTGAATCCCCCACTCTTGGCTGAGCAGCATCACTGGAAGGAGTTGATGCTGGAGTATTCCTGCGAAGAGAGGCAGTAGGCGCTGGAGGTAGAGGGGATGTGAAGTTGGGTGGAGTACGTGGAGGAGTGCCTCGTGGCAATGGGGGCGGAGTTGCAATCGATGGAGACCCAGGTGGCAGTGGAGGTTGGAACTGAAAATTGTCATAAGCTAGAGAACTGTGTGGCATTTCCAAATCTAAAATTAGAAGATTAAATAAATCTCCATTAGTAGTACTGAGGCTTGAATTCCTACCTTACCCTACTTTTAATCAGATTTCGAGTCTAAAATATATTCTTTGCTTAAAGACAGTAAACTTATGTTCTCAGCCTTTTGAACTCTAGCATCAGCTTATGGAGAAATACAGCCGTATCAGCTGAAAAGCCTATCCTGCATGTCTCAGTAGCCTTGAAACTTGCCATACTGAATCTGTCATTTTGGATTCCAGAGGGAACCCTCATGGCTGCTTTAAAAGCTGCATTTTTAAATGCTCTTAAATATGAACAAAGTTTGTAGCCAAACCTTAAAGATTTTAGATCCAAGGTGTATGGAAATTCCCTCCTCAGTTTGAGGGAATCGAGAAGGGCAGCTGGGAGAACTGCTATAGAAGATCATTCTCAAATTTGACTTTAGAATATTTAAAGAAGAAAGTTTTCTGGTCTTTTTAACAGCCATTAAAGCTTTCCTCATTCTAATTCCTCTGAAAAAAATCTCACTCCTGTAGCAATGCCCACAAGTTGTAAGAATGGAACAATTAATAAAAAAAATTGATTTTAGCTCCTTCCTCTGTATTTTCTACTACATTTTATCTTTGCTTCTTTTAAACTGTTAAGTCTTCAGATCAGGTAACTCTCTTTGGGGCTTATTCAGGGTCAAACACGCTGTTGGTGATATATAAACAGTATTCTTGTTTTTACACATTAGCTCTTCAAATTTATTATTTTAGTAAATATAAAATGATATCTGTAAATAGTAAATTAGAGAATTCCCTGGATGGCAAACCCAGTTGATTAAGTCTACCATAAAAATCTAGGGAGAACTAGGAAAACAAATTGTTTCACTAATTTAGATTTTGCCTCACAGCTTTCTTATATGGTATATTGATATAAACACAATAAAACATGTTAGCTTGGAGAGTATATTTTTAATCCTGTTTCTATTATGGGAATTTTCTTTGTTCAAACTAATTTATAATCAGGTAAAATGCATTATTTTAAAAATGTGTACTTTCCAATCCCCTAATTCTAAAAAGTGGATTTAGAAAAGTGCAAGACTAAACAGTTTATCCACAGAGCAGGTAGCTGCAGTACAAGGTTCCTTGGCCCTCATTCCCAATTTGTGCCACTTCTGCCTACCTTAGATACTTTTAAGACTACAGTAATGGGGGTCAAACAACCTCTCTCTAATGTATTTATTATCACAACATCCCTCTGAGGCAAGAATATTATAATCCTAATTTTAGAGATGAGTAACTAAGGTACAGAAAAGAGAAGTGACTTGCCCAAGATCACACTGGAAAGCTATGGTACAGGAAAGACTTGACCCCAGATCTCCCAAGCCCTAAAATTAAATGCCCAAATCACTGGACCATTCTTGTGTCTTCTCTCACTTCTAAGGGTGAAAGCCAATTCAATTTATATGCCCACTTGACAGTTGGTCTCTTCTGAAAATACCAACAAGGGCATCAGCTGTAGCGAGAATACCTGTCCACCAAAATTTAGATGGGATCAACTCATGTTTCTGTGGGTTATTCTGTGACCCAAATAATAATTGTCGCTACTGACCTGGTCTAGATTGGGAGTGGCAACCTAAAGAGTCCACTTCTCTGGGGCTGAGCTATAGCCCTCACTGTTACAACACAGAGTAAAATACTCTGACAAAGAATATTCGTAAATTACAGAAAGCCCAACTGTAATCCAAAATAATACAAACATTTGACAAATACGGTTAGTTCTCTATTTTAACAGTACAGTTAAAATATCATACACCTCTACCCTGATATAACGCGACATAACACGAATTCGGATATAACGCGGTAAAACAGTGCTCCAGGGGGGGTGGGGCTGTGCACTCCGGTGGATCAAAGCAAGTTCGATATAACGCGGTTTCACCTATAACGCGGTAAGATATTTTGGCTCCCAAGGACAGCGTTATATCGAGGTAGAGGTGTAATATATTTAGATAATGTGTCAGTAATTCAATACAAACTGAAATACTGACAACCACGTATTGTTATTGAAGTCTACATTTCACTACAGAGTAAGGAGTGAGTTATTTTGAAAGTATAAAATTATAATTGCAAAAAATAAAACTATACCAGAATCCATGTCCATGTCAGCTACTGATACTGCTGAATTGTCTCCTTTTACCTTCTTTGAATTGTGAGAACTTGATGGATATGCAGACCTTTTATTGCTAGATTTTGGACTTGGCTGAGGAAAAGTTAGCCAGGAAAATAGAATACAAATTAGTATTATAAAGGTACTATTAAAGGCGTCAATATTCCCTGCTACAAAAATACTAATTAAAATCCTCAATGATCTCAATTTGATAGGGTCCATTTTGTAAGCAAAACACTCAGGTGTCAGAGAAACTTGAGAGGTTTAATGTAGTTGAATGAAAAAACAGCAATCGTGTTTAGTTTTTCAGTGGTGAATGAGAAAGGGATTTTGTCTGCATCCCTATCAGAGCCTCAATAACACTCCTTTTCTCCATGCTTACCCACCCAGATCTCATGAAGCCACCATGTCATATGAACGGGACATTTCTTTTGTAGCAATCTCATAGAAACTGTTCTTTAATTACTAGTAGAACAACTCAATGCTTTACTCTCAACCCCCATAAAAAGTCTTGTCAATTGTAATGTACTTCCAGCTTAAGAAATAGGAAACTGAAGCCTGAAATTAAACCTACTGTTTCTTGCTTGAAGCAAGAAACACTAGATTGGAGTTGAACATTTACATTAAGGTCTCAGAGAAAGCTATGTAACAAGGTTGCCACACATGTTTCGCAAACATAGTACTAAGCTGTTCAACCATGAAATATCTGAAAGCATGCCTGTGTTAATCAACTATGGACTTAATTAACTGTGTTAATCTCACGTGGACTTTTAGACAAGTATGCAATTCAGATATAGTCCGCACAAAATTTAAATGTAGGCATATATCCAAATGGAATTAGCTAACCGTTCCTACAGACTATGAATTAGAGTCTTTTAGCACTGGGTTTAGTAGATGATCAGATAAAGAGAAAGAGTCTAAGTTGTTTTATAAGATGGTGGTTTTTGACATCAAACAGGTGGCCCAAAAGATTTAAAAGGATATGGCCAAAAATAATGGTTTATTCAAAGGGCTACCCTCTATTCTCATTACCTGTTTTTAGCTATTGTACTGATGAAAACCTCAAGATTTCACACCAAACCCCAATACCCTCTATTAGCCATCTTCGGCCAAAGTTGGAGGTGTATACAAGAGACCACTGACAACTGGTAACACCAATGCAGAAACATAAGATTTTTTCCAATTTTTTGTATCCAAATATAACAAATATATTCACCACCTGAAAATTAGAAAGGTAGCTAGCAAAAACGTCCTTCTGTTGAGATGGCTGCATGGGTATGGAACCAAATATCCTCCATTCCTACAGTTGGAAAAAAAAAAAATAAAAAAAAATCAATATAGCTCGACATTCAGTAAGCTGTGGCTAATAATGCACACGCAACTATAATACACATTATATGGACAAATGAGTAAATGTTCCGATCAGAAATTTATTTAACTGGGAAGGAGGAAGAACCCTAAATATGAATTTTTAGCAAAAAGATGAGCTCCATTCCAACTTGTGAATATAGATGTCTGCTGCATAGAGTTATATTGGGCGAGAAACCACAGCACCACTTTAATGAGATTTATTAGCCATTTTGTTGCAAACCTCTTATTCAAAGTTTGTAGTGCAGCTATTAAAATTTACTTCAGGAGGAAAAGTGAACATAAAGAGCTACAACTTGAATAAAGTCTTCCTAATTATTAGTAATAGTTATGCTAAAACCTATGACAATACATTCAAAACAAAGAAAACTGAGGAAAAGCTATATTAAGAGGCCACTATCCACCAGACAGAAAACAGTGTAAGGAATAGAAAATTCTTTAAGGCATCTTCCAACCCCAAGGTTCAACAGGTGCCTATTTAACTGGTTTCTTGATCTGCCCCATTTTGTCCAAGTGTTAAAAGATGCATTACTGAACTTGTGCATCTCAATTCCTGAGACACATTCTTTTGATGTAGTTTTTGTTTAGCAAAGATAAAGATTATATGGTACAGCATTGCTATGGTAACATTTATATTCATATGAATAATGTGCATTCAGCTTTGTTTTGAAAAATATTGGCATTTAAATGAAAATCTGAATATCAGATAGGTACAGAATCATATGCTCCCATCTCATAGTGGAAATAAGCAGCATTATACATTAATAGCAGCCTCCTGGAGGTTTACTAGCATCAGCAAAAGTCCAGATGGACTCTATTGCACAGGTTTCTTCAGAGATCTTAATTAACTTTTAAATACTTAATTCCCCCCCTCACCCCCCACAAATATAATGGATAATTGAAAACTAACTTATTTGCAGTTGACCATCAAGATTTAAATAATCCACAAGTAGGTAATAATGTTTTGCTTTAGAATACCACACCAACTGTGTGTAGCACATACACTTACATCTGAGATCCCACTTGCAGTAGACATATTAAAGCCCGGATAGTTTATTAACTTAGAGACATCATAAGTGACACATTTGTTTTGTTGATAGGGTCTTTCATCTTCTGTTTCACCACCAGTAGCATCTATAACAAAGTATCATAAATGTTAATATTGCTACTGAGGAAGAAAGTTACAGAAAAAGTTGCAGCAGAAAGACAACAGGTTGCAAAGTTGAAACAGTTTAGAGAAAAGGCTTGCAACCAGTGTAGCAGGAATACAGTGGCAAATTCTCTCATTAGATGTGTGCACAGCTTCCACTGAAAAAAGAACAGGAGTACTTGTGGCACCTTAGAGACTAACAGATTTATTAGAGCATAAGCTTTCGTGGACTACAGCCCACTTCTTCGGATGCATATAGAATGGAACATATATTGAGGAGATACATATACACACACATACAGAGAGCATAAACAGGTGGCTTCATAAACTTCAGCTTCCACTGAAGTGCCAACTAAAGACAGAGCAGTATTCGGACTCTACTGTTGGTATCCTTGCAGAATTTGGCTCTAGAACATTACATCTGTTGTTTGATCCTATGTTCTGTGTCGACAGCTTGTGTTCTTTAAACTCAGGGACCTAAGACAGGTCTGGAAATCACTGCTCTCTTTTTTTGGCTATGGGAGTCAGTCTTCATTACCTCAAGGAATTGGCATAGCTAGGGCAGATGAGGGAAGAAGAGTGGTACACTACACAAGAGGGTAAAGAACCAGCTTTGCTTATCCTAGTTCAATTGACCCTGGTAATGTTCCAATACTGTTCTCTTTGGGGTATCGCCGTAATAGTGAGATACTTAACAACCCCACTATAGTCTTGGGTTTCCTTATGTGGAAAAGGAGTTTCTCCACAACAAGAAAGTTGAACAAGGAAAGCGGGGAAGGGGAATAATATTAACATTTTTAGAATATCCATACAGAAATTATAGTTTTCCTGCTGCCAGCCACTGAATTAAAATAACTACCAAAATGGACATTTTCTCATGAGGTTTCATCAAGAAGCACCACAGTTTGAAAACTAATTAAAACACTTGATAAACTAGGAATGTCCTCCATCTGCTTTTAACACATTCAGAATTGGACAATTTAACCAAGCTAGGCACAGAGCAACACAGCCCTATGAAACAAATATCTAAGACTCTGGCAGCAATTTCTTTGTGGATGTGGTTAATGAACCATTAACCAAGGACATGAGTGTGAAATGGAGTGCTAGGAGATGCAACTTAATTTAAGTAAGCAAGACTAAGGTTAATTAAAGTTTTACAATAAATTCTGAAGTGTATGCAAAGCCTAGATAAGGATTGTGGATTGGAGAAATGTGTACTAACAATTTGTGCTAGTTACAGGCTTTATTGACGCCACCTGGATCAACTGAATTTTCTTTAGAGAATGAACTGGAAGAGCAACTGATAAAGAATGTCACTCTGAAGAGAAAAGAAGATGATTTCCCCCCCCCCCCATCATCTTAAATACCTCAATCAGGTAATACACGTGATAGGAAATCAGGAGATTATCTTGTATCATTGCTACTTAACTGTGGGCACAGAGAATAATCAGCATTAAAATGTAACAACATTGGCAAACTACTCAGTAATAAATTAAGTCTGTTTTGATTTTTAAACAGAGAAGAGAACTTGGGCTTTGATATATGCTCTAGACAAGTCTGAATGAAGAAGCATAAAACAATATAGAAATAATTACGGAACTTTGAGGAATACCACTGTTTCCTTCAAAAGGCTCAAATAAAGCAACTTAATCAGACAGAGAATCAAAAAAGTGTGATCAAGCAAGAGCAGATCTGACACCAGGCCACATATGAAACTTCTATAGCTTTCCACAAACTCCATGGTCTAGAGTCAGAGGTTTAAAAGATAGTGAGATCAAATGGACAAAATCCTTCCAACCATGTGATTAAGTCATTTCAGAAAGAACAGAGCTGCTTCACTGTCACAGCAGTATTGGTATTTTTAAACATGATTGGAGAAACTAAGAGAAAATCTGGCTCACAGCAGTCTCAACCTTTCCTGTAAGGAGCACATCTGATGCAGGAAGAAAAACAGCTACCTGAAAACATGAAAACTTTTTGTAGCAAGACCACCACCTTTGGTATTTTTTTGGGGTGAATTCTAATGATGAGCATGATCATAATTATAACATTAACTTGACAGTTTAGCACTAGTACAGTTCTTTTGGGAACCAAAAGAGTCAAGAGTCCAAGACTTAAAGGTGGCCTGAAGCCTCAACATAGCAAAGACTAATTTTAAATTCATCGGGGGGTGGGGGAGGGCGGGGGAGAGAGGGAACCCTGCAGCTCCCAGCCACCACAGTGGCAGGGGAAACTATGGAGCCACAGCAGCAAAAATCACAGATAGGTCACTGCCTCTCTGAATTTTTGTTTATTGCTTGTGACCTGTCCATGACTTTTACTAAAAAAACCATGACAAAAATCTTAGCCTTAATAATAACCCACAGTCAATGTCAAGCAACTGGCCAACTTGTATACTTAAAGGAAGAGTGAAACTACTCAACTCTTAAGTAGGAAAGGAATGTGTTACCACTACAGTCAGGTAGGCTTTCCTAGCTGCATACTACTTACCTTTTCCATCATAAAGTGCAAGTCCTGAATCCTCCAGTTCAGCTTCTTTGAGCCAACCTGGGGGGTAACCCAACTGGCGCATGCGATATATAAATGGAGGAAGACTCTTATCTGTGACACCAAGCGCATCTTGAAGTTCTTCACTAGATGGAACATAGGAATACCAAAACTCAAAACTAATCTTCCTATAATCATTGTCATATATTTTAATCTTAAATCAACTAAAAGTCTTAAGTTACACAGTTACAGAAGTCTCTAGTTATAAAAGCAAGACAGTCACCTTCTAGAGAAAAAGATTCAAGTTGTTTCATTTGTATACCTTGTACAGTTACTCCCTTAGAATATCTATTTGAATTATTATATTGAATGCAGAACTACATTAATGTTAAAGATTACAAAGTTAAATGACAAAATCAGAAAATTAGAAAGCTAAAGTTCACATTCTAACATTAACTTGCCTGTACAGTGCAAATAAATAGATGTATGTCTAAATCTATATCTTAGAAAGTTGCCTCTACTATGAGAGCCACAATTCATTCCTGGATTTGTGAGTTGAAATTCACAACCTTTAAGGTAATCTGCATAGGAAAAGACATCCTTCCTGTAAAGCTAGATTAAACTGAAGTGCTGTCTTCTCGTTAAATGGGATAGCCATATTTTATATGGAAAAAATACTTTTTTTAAATGAAAAGTTTAAAATTTCCTGAAACCAGCATGAACTGTAAATGACCCTAAAAAGAGGGTCACAGGAACCATAGAAATATTTGTAGTCTCCCTCATTAAAAGACTAACCTGAGGACTCAGTACATGTCACTACAGGGTGCCTAGATCAGGGAAACATTGGACAGAGTAGGATTAATGGGGAAAGTTTCAGCATGAAAAGGAAAACGTGAAGAATTTATCAACACATGAAGACATTTACAAAAGGGGTCTTAACACAACTGAAGAGATAGTTACCAAGAGAATTATTATACAGTAAGTGATAACTTTTATACATTACAAATGGCAGAAAAGTTATTTGATGTGTGTGAGAAGTACAGTGATCCAATCAACGTGTGCAGAGGGGGGAGTCACAGAGGAGAGATACCTTATTATTCCTGGTTTAAACTTCCCAAACCTCTCTTCTACTTCGTCTGCATGATAACGTTGCTGAAAGTTCTGGTTACTTGCTTCACCACAGGCTTCCATGAACTCTCTTCTTTTCTCACTTATACGGGTAGCATTCCGTGGCTTAAATACAGTTGAGAGACTCACCATGATGCAACTTGCAATTTAAGCACACAATTCACTCAACTCAAACCAAGTTATTAAAGACTAACAGATTTATTTGGGCATAAGCTTTCGTGAGTAAAAACTTTATGCATCCGAAGAAGTGAAGTTTTTACTCACG